CCTGAGGGCGGATCCGGGAGTTCCGGAGGCGGAGGCTGGCGACGCAAGGCAGGGGCGGGGACTGGGGCCCGGGGGCGGAGCCTTCCTGGCTGGGGCGGGGCCGGCAGCGGGCGGCGGCGGCGGCGGCGGCGCGGGGCTGAGCTCGGCTCTGGGCTCGGCGGGCGGCGGCGGCGGCGGCGGCGGCGACGGCGACGGCGACGCGCACCAGGGCGGATTGTGGCTTCGCTGGTGCTCGCGGCGGGCGGCGGCGGCGGCGCGGGCGCGGCGGGGCGCGCCCGAGGGCCCCCGCGGGGGCGGCGCAGGCGATGAGCCGGAGCCCGGCATGGCCTCCGCGCGTCCGCCGGGCCGGGCCTGCGCCTCGGGGCCCGCGGGGCTCCGGGCCGGGCCGCCCGCCCTCGCCGCTCCCGCCGCCGCGTCCCCGGAGCCCGCGGGCGGCGCGGAGGCGGAGGAGCGCTCGCTGCAGCACATGCTGCGTGCCATCGCGGAGGAGCGCGGCCGCCTCAGCCTGCGCCGGGAGGTCTGCGGCCTCGGTGAGTGGGGCGGCCCTGCGTGTCCGCGGGGCTCCGGCCCTGCGTGCGCCTCTGCCTCCGGGCGTCTCGGGGGCTCCCCGTGTCCTGTCCTCCGGGTGCCCTCGCGTCCCTGCGCATGGGTCCTGTGTGTGTCCCTGGCTCTGGTTCGGGTCCCCGGTGCGCCCCGCACCCTCGTGCCCCGCAGTTTTTCCGCGTCTCCCTGTGTCCGTCCGTCTGGGTGTGCGTCTCCTCCTCTTCCTCCTCCCTTCCCTGGGAGTCCCAACCCCGGGGACCGGGGTGCCGCGGCAGCGCGGGGTTTGGGGGGACCCCCAGCTCTGTGCCCAGCCCGGTAGCCGGAGCCTTTGTCTTTCTGCCCTGCATCGGGGAGCTCTGCCCAGGGACCTGTTGGGCCTCGGCACCCTGGGCCCACCTGCTCGGCCGAGGGAGTCGGGGGCGGCCGCCGCTCTGGGCGTGATTTTGCTGGGTGGAGTGCGCTGGGGGTGCCTCCCATTGTCTGAGGTGTGGGACTGCAGGTGTGGGAGGGGTCTCCCGGCCTGGCTGGCTGTGAGGTAATGTGTTCGTGACCGCTCGTGCTCAGGGCCGAGTTGGGGAGGAGCCCCTCTCCTGTAGGCTCGGGGTTGCCATTTATGCACGAGAAGACCCCTCCCTCCTCTGCAAGGAATGACTTCATACCACGTTGTCGCCGCCCCCACCCCACCCCCAGTCTGGGCTGGGGATTTCTGAAGCGGCCAGAGCGTTGCTGGGTGGGGCTGTGGGCCTTCCAGGTTCTGCCAGTGCCCCCTGCATTCACCGCTGGGGAAACTGAGGCCCGCAGAGCCAGGGTGACTCACAGCACCGGGGACGTGGCCTCCCCAGGCTGTCCGCCCCCCCCACCCCGGCAGGCCACACCCGGGGGGCTGCGATGAGGGGAGCGGACAGACTCGAATCCTTTATTCTGTGGCACGCGGAGCAGGGCCAGCCGGGCCGCTGTGGATGGAGTTTTCATCGTGGGCGGGGTGGGGGGGTGTGGTAGGGGATGGACGGGGACACAGGCTCCAAAGGCATGTTTTCTGGAAAGATTCAGTTTGAGCAGAAACTCATTCATTCCGCAGACATGCACCGAGTACCTACTGCGTGCTGGCCTGGTGGGCGAACCTGACACCTCGCATAGAATGTTTGACCTGGGAGGGGCCTGGGGCCATCTGCTGAGCAGCCCCTCCCCACACCCTGTCCACCTGCCCCTTCTGTCCTGGCATGGGGTGGCCCATGGAGCGGAAGGGCCGTCCTCAGAGACCTGTTCTGTCCGTGAACTCTGACACAGCCAGGTGTGAAGGTTATCTCCCCGTCCTGGGGGAGGAGCAGAGAGGCAACAGGCTGAGGAGGTGGCACAGCTGGGCTTGACCCCTGGCCAGTCTGACCCCAGAGCCTGCCCCTCCCGGGAGCCCCGCCAGGCCTGCCGTGCCCTGACTTCCCGGCATCCCCGGGGTCTCCTCCCCTGGCTCCCTCCGTGCTCCCAGCCCCGCCCCTGCGGTCCCGGGAGCTCTGCCCTCTTGGTGCTGCCCGTTTCCCGCGCCCGCGCAGGTGGGACTCTTCCATCAGGTGTCGGCCCCCATGCTGCCTCCCCGGGCCCTTCCTTCACTCCAGTCTGGACGGTCTGTAGGTGCGTTGCGTGGCTCTGTCAGGGGCTGTGTGGCTGGCTCCCACTTGGCCAGTGAGCCCCCGAGGGCACACTGCCCCTGCGGCCCGCTCGGTGCCTAGCATGGGGCACGTCCAGGGGTGCTGTCCCATAGGCAGCACAGTGGTGAAAGAATTCATTTCCACGCGGCTGAGGAAGGGTGTGGGTGGCCTAGGAGACTGGCATCTTAACCCTGAGAGGGGCCTTGCCTGTCTTGGCTTTTCAGATGCGGAGTTAGCTGTTCAGAGACCTTAATAGGGACTTCATGGCCCAGATACCTTAGGACCCCCTGCTTGGCCCAGACCGGTCCTTTGATGTCCACTCAATCATTTAACCCTCGCAGGCCCTGGATCTGCAGCTGCAGCTGTGGCAACCTGTTCAATGCAGGGAGGGATCTAAACCCTAGATTTTTCTCCGTTTAGTCGGTGCTTAGGTTACTCAGAACCTTGCTGTGTCCAGAGGTTGTCTTCAGGGGCTGGGGAGCCTCTGGTGGAGACTCCCGGCTTTGGGCACGGTGTTGTCCACTCTGAGTCGTGTCTGTCTGTGGGCGACACGGAGCTACTGGCTTTCCCAGTGCAGGAATCACTGCTCCACCCTCGTGGTGAACGGCCCCTCGTGGATCCAAACCTGATTTTGGAGTTTCGTTTACGCAGTCTATGCAGAAGAATTTTTTTTTTTTCAGCAGTCGCCATGTGTTGCCATGTGCAAGGCGTGCTCTGTGCTAGACCTCACGGGAGGGCACTTGGGGCTGGGAGAGAGAGGCCAGGTGCACGAACACGCAGGTGACTGTTGGCTGGAGGCCGCCGGGGCTGCGGCCGCCCTGAACTGGACTTTGGTACTGCAGCCACAGGATGCCGCTGGTGGTTCCTGGTGACGGATGGACCAGGCTGGCCAGCGGCGGGGGCTCGTGCGGAGCTCCAGGGTCCCCGAGCCGGCAAGCACCAGGCCGTGTGACGTGCAGATGCGTGAAGCAGACCCTTCCTCTTGGAGTTCGGGCCTTCCCCCACGCCCTGGACGTCAGCCCGTGTCGGGGCAGCCGGCTTTCAGGAGAGACAGCACCTCTGATGAGTGACCCGGCCCCAGGACCTGCTGGAGGGGTGCATGGGGAGGGGGAGGTGGACTCGTGCTGCCGCGCTGAGCATCCTGGGAGCCTTCTGCCTAGAGTGTCCCAGGCTGGAGGAGGGTCTGGTTCCATCCCCCTCACCGTGTCACCCTCTTCTTTTTGTCGGGAGGAGGGAACACAGGTTTGGAGGGGACGGACCTGGAAGGTGGCAGAATCTCTCTGAGCCCACACACGGCCCCTGCCCAGGCCCACACACGGCCCCTGCCTGGGCCCACACACGGCCCCTGCCCGGGCCCACACACGGCCCCTGCCCGGGCCCACACACGGCCCCTGCCCAGGCCCACACACGGCCCCTGCCCAGGCCCACACACGGCCCCTGCTCGGGCCCACACACGGCCCCTGCCCGGGCCTACACAGAGCTGAGGCCCACCCCGGGAGGAGCGCCGCAGGGGGCCACAGTGCTGTCTGTCCAGGGGACAGTCGCCCACTCAGCCTGAGAGCAGGGCTGTGGCTGGGCGGGGCTGGCCCGAATAGGGGGGCAGAGAGGCTCACGGGCCGGGAGGGGGTCCCCGGGGCTTCCGGTTCCGTTCCGCAGCTGAGAAGTTGGGACTCAGCGGAGCCGGGTTGGGGCGCTCTGTGGGCATGAGCTGTGGGAGCGCCATGGCTGTTAGCGCAGGCGGCTGCACATCTGCTCGGCCAGCTGCCCTGCACCTGCACCTGCAGCTGCCGCGTGTGCTGTCGTCCTGCCCTCGTGGAGGGAGGCTTTGTCATGGCTCCATTCTGCAGGCTTGGAAGCTAAGCTTCAGGCAGGAAGGTGACTCACCAAGGCCATGTAGCTGGGCGGTGGCCAGGCTGGAATTCCAGTGCAAACAGCCGTCCTGGATCGCGGGCATGGCGTGGGTCAGAGGAGCGAGGCGAAGGCTGCCTGCCAGTAGGCCTGGCTTCTGGACTGCCCAGGCACAGCGTTCCAGGCCCCCAGGACCACCTGTGAACTGGGACAAGCTCTGTACGCCCGGCTGGCCCTCTGCTGCTGTCCTGGGCACGGTGTGGCTGGGTGTCTGTGGCGGGTGGGAGACGTGGGAGGAGACATGGTAGAGAGGAAGACTGTGGAGGCAGTGGACTCCGGGAACGTGGGGCTGCAGAGACAAGGGACAGGTAGTGAGTGACACACGGCAGGTGCAGCCCGGCACGAGTCCTGCGCTGCTGCCGCCGCCGTTGTCCAGGAAACACAACATCTGGCCCGGCGCCCGCTCTTAGAGGCACGGCTGTGTCAGACCGCTTTGCAGTCACCCGGGACGATCTCCCTGGGTCTGCTGGGCCCCGAGTGGCCCCAAACCCTAAGGCAGTTGGAGCTGGTTGTCGGCTACTGCGGTGGGGAGGAAGTGTGGCTGTTGGGAGCAGGGTAGTGGGGCCTCTTTCAGTTCCTGAACCTATTTTTAAGGTTCCGGTCTCTCTCGTGCCGGGGCTGGAACAACTCAGGAGGCTCTCCTGAGCCAGGGACTCTGATCCCTTTGGGGAAACTGAGGCCAAGGGCCCCAGCCCCAGGGTGGTCCCTGCAGCCGGCTGCTGTGCTGCCCTGCTACCTGGGGGTCCCACCGTCATGGGGCAGGGCTGGCTGGGGGCATCACTAAGCCACCAGGCCGCTGAAGAGGCCCGAAGCAGACACTTGTTGGAAGCACCTTCACCATCCCTAAACAAAGGTCACATGCGTATCAGACGCTGGAAAACAGCAGAGGGGGAAGTTACTCACATCCCCAGTCACCCAGAGGCACACTTGTTAGCTTTCAAAGGCCGGGTCTCCGACCTTTGCAGAGCTTTTTCAAATAATATTTGATATTCAATATAGAACATTTTTTAAAGATGAATTTATCTGAAAGAGTTACAGAGAAAGAGGGAGAGTTCCTTTTTTCCCCCCTTTAAGATTATCTTACTAATTTGAAAGGCAGAGACCGAGGTCTTCCGCCTGCTGGTCCGTCCCCAGCTGCCCGTGACAGGCCGGGCCGGGCCAGAGCAGCCGGGACGCAACCAGCACTCGTGCGGGGTGCTGGTGTGGCAGGCAGTGGCTGGACCCACTGCCCCTCCTGCCCGGAAAGTAATCAGGCCTTTTCAGTTAAAATTCCTCAAACATTTTCTCTGTTGGTCAAGCCCTAAACGTTATTTAAGTGCACACAAGTTGAATGGACATGACTGTTTACAGAGTTGGTCCCACATCCTGGCAAACTTAGCTTGGATCCAGTTTTTCTCTGTTATTTACATTTGGATTCATTCTTTCTTTCTCTCCTT